AAAAAAAAAAAAAAAAAGAAAAAAAATTAACAACTACAATAGGGCTATTTTGAGCGCTTCCAAAAGAAATGGTTGGACACAACAATATCAACAACTACCTTTTTCAGATAAAATGCTTAGGCTTAAATTTTGTGAATTACTAGCAAACAGAAAAAAAAGTAAAAATCAGTTAGCAATTTCCGGCTCACCCAAGCATAGGAAACAAACTAAAAAGAAGCAATTCGAATCTCAAAGACACCATTATGACAAAATACGAGGCTTCCATGAGCAATAAAACTGTAAAAAAAAAGATAAAAGTATTTTGAAGTATGCTGGAATGATAACAACTGTATAAAGCGAAATGTTATGATAATGTTAGCTAAGAATTGATCTGTTGAAATATAATCAATCTCAGATGAATAAAGAGAAAATTATTAAAACTTTGAGATAATATAAGCAAAAGGCATTCCCAGTAAGCAATAAGTTTTGAGATACAAAAAAGCACCTCAGACATTATTCCCTCAACCAAAAGCGAATAAAAATAATCGTCCCAACGCACGACTAGAAGTGACAAAAAAACTCGTAAAATGAACGTGAATAAATGACTGGGATAATATAACTGAGAACACTCGGAGTGAAAGCAAACAACGGAGACATCCCGTGAAAAATAAAATAAATGTTAAGAAATATATGAGAAAACCTTTTTGTACGATGGTTGCATTAAAGGGTTGTTCACTGCAGATCAACAAAATGTCGAAGCATCATCTGAATGTCACATGAATCGATGTTAATAGAACAAACCGATATCCCGAAAGTACAGCAGAATTACTCCTGAAGAATGCCGAGGGAGCTCAACTGTGAAAATTCTTTTTTAATGCAGCTTGAAGGCTCAAAATATTCCGTTTGAAAGACCACGACCAGATTCCAAAAAAACCAGTGTGTTGAACGGATCATAATCACGCCTCTCCTGTTCTGGTGAACCTTCAACAGTAGTAGGAGTCCCACTACTCAAGCTGCATATGTCCTGAAACCAAAACAAATAAAATCGATTTCTCGTCTGACCACGTGTATAAACTTTAAAAGATCCAAAAAAAAGTGTAAAACCAAGGAATGCAAAATCTGCTTTACTTCAGTGGGCGAAACGACACTCGTTGAGGAAGACGATGAGGACTTGTGTGAGGAAGCTCCATTAATTGCCTGGTGAGATAAAGTTGAAGCAGTCTGATTACTAGCCGTCGTCGACGGTGAATTACTTGACACGGTGAACTGCGGTGAAACAGGGCGATAATCATTCAAAGAATGACTAAGGCTTAATCCATTAAAAAGACCTGCCAAGTCGCCGGTTGGTGCCCAAATGGCAGCAATTCGTTTCGCACAGCCAGGGCAAAGTTCTCGTAAGACTTAAAAAGTTCTGTACTATAAGGATGTAACAGAAATGTGAGCAGCTTCACGAAAAGAAGTGTTAAGCTGCG